TTTTATTTTCTCCGAGGCGACAACACGGTTGACTTTCATCATCGCTACTTCTTTGGCATCGGTTTGGTGTCCCTACCTTTTCAATATGCACAGTATCCATGAATATCCAGATTTTAAGGGTGCTTTCACACTGGGTATTTTTGCTGCGGTCCGAGTTCCCGGTGACTCCCGGTTGGTCTCAATTGATTTTATCGAACCCTTGTGCACTTACGTCATCAATAAAATGCATGCCGCATAATAGAAAACAGAATGCAGTCAACATATTGTGGTTTTTATGAAGTTGATGCTATCATGCAAGCACAGCAGGGTAAATGACACAAGGGTTTACTCCTTCTGGTACTCTCGGGTTCGGTTCACATTAGTAATTATTCATGTGTACTGCGCCCCGTTGTGAACTAAACTACCAGTGTGAAAGCACCCTAAGAGTGTTACAAAGCTTGCTTAAAGCTACACTGTGTAACTCTTTTAGTTTATTCTTAGCTAAAAACACTTAGTTCTTTCAAAAATATATGTGCTCATTAATGTATATTTACTTTGTTCAAGTAATAAAGTATTCTCGTGTGTATAATATGCCATTGAAAATACATACGGGTAAGGGGTTCTAATGTCGGTCGCCATGTTGCCCCTCCATCTTGAATGTACATTAGCCAAAGAGGGACATACTGGTTAATTCAGGCTTCGCCTTTCGCGTTTACGTTTGAGTTAACAACCACGGACGAGGTCGAACTGGAAGCCATGTTAATCTTGGACTACATTGGCCACCGTAGGAGTTAAAACGAAATCGGAATTGAGAGGAACAGAAACTAATATTCACTGGATGGTTATATACCTTTTCACCACTAGATGGGGGTAAAAATCACACAGTGTAGCTTTAAAAAAACAAGCTGAGAAGCTTATCAGATGAAATTTGTCTCCACTATACATGAATAAATGAAATGTATGTATCCTCATTATGTCCTTTTGTGTATGTGTAGCTGGATGAGGAGGTAGCTGCCGCACACTTGGACAAGCTTGGCGTCAAACTTACCAAACTGACAGAGAAGCAAGCCAAATATTTGGGTCTGCCCAGTGCCGGTCCCTTCAAACCAGACCACTACCGCTACTAAGTAGCTTTGACCAATCACAGCTTCAGCTGTGGATGGGGACGGACTACACAATCATTGGCGGTTACCTTTGCAGCTATAATAGTGCTTAACTAGTGAACACATTGTCACTGTCTTATTTGCATTCCTTGTTTTATGATACGGTTATATTAAAAACAAAACACAAAATTCTTCCATTAGGTCAGTTATTGGACGCCCCTCAGTAAATTAATATTCTGTCACGTTTTGCTTCTTCCGTGTCTTACTCTGAAGTGATTGTCAGGTAACTATGAATTGAGCGAGGCACTGCCTTTTGGCCATGCTACTTTTGTAAACCTGTTAAAATAATGAAAAAAATGTATTTTTCTGTTAGCAAGCTGTGAGTTTGTGTGGGTCTGGGTAGCTCGTCCTGTTTCATTACATCCACTCGTGAAGACCTGATGAAATAAATATTTGACTATAACATGCTTTGTTAACTTGTTAATCCTTTATTGCAGCACAGCGTTAGGAGAATGTGGTTCTCAACTGGTAAAATCCATAAAAATGGGTTTAATATTTATATAATATAATGAATCAATATTGGTATTGCTCATACATGCGATTAGGGATCTGAACGAACGCCAAAGCCCATGTATTAAACTTAACCATGTAAATTGGTAATTGAATTGAAGCCAAAATTAAGATTTCAATATAAAATTATATTAGAAATGTTTCCTTGGCAATTATTGAACAAATGTGAAGTACTGAAATGACAAACTAATAATAATAGATTAAATTAAAGCTAAGCACATTAAATTAAGTGAACGGAACACTTTTTAGTTTAATTTTAAGGCAATGTGTTTACTCAATTTTTGATTAAACAAAGTTTATTAACTAAAAAAAAAATAAGTAATGTGGAATCGTCGAGTTAAGCACGTTAAGCATTCCATTTATTTACTTTATTTATTAGGTTTACAAAAAATTAAGTGAACTGAATACTTTTCAGTTAAAGGGATAGTTCACGCAAAAATGAAAAATTGTCATAATTTACCTTGCATTTGTTCCAACCCTATAGGATTTCTTCTTCTGCTGAGCAGAGTGAAAGATATTTTGAAGAATATGGGTAACCAAACAGACCCAGGGCCCCATTGACTTCCATAGATTGGAAATATGTATATACACTCACCTAAAGGATTATTAGGAACACCTGTTCAATTTCTCATTAATGCAATTATCTAATCAACCAATCACATGGCAGTTGCTTCAAAGGATTTAGGGGTGTGGTCCTGGTCAATGCAATCCCCTGAACTCCAAACTGAATGTCAGAATGGGAAAGAAAGGCAATGTAAGCAATTTTGAGCGTGGCATGGTTGTTGCAGCCAGACGGGTCAGTCTGAGTATTTCACAATCCGCACAATTATTGGGATTTTCACGCACAACCATTTCTAGGGTTTACAAAGATTGGTGTGAAAAGGGAAAAACATCCAGTATGCGGCAGTCCTGTGAGCGAAAATGCCTTGTTGATGCTAGAGGTCAGAGGAGAATGGGCCGACTGATTCAAGCTGATAGAAGAGCAACTTTGACTGAAATAACCACTCGTTACAACCGAGGTATTCAGCAAAGCATTTGTGAAGCCACAACACACACAACCTTGAGGCGGATGGGCTACAACAGCAGAAGACCCCACCGGGTACCACTCATCTCCACTACAAATAGTTGAAGACTGGAAAAATGTTGCCTGGTCTGATGAGTCTCGATTTCTGCTGAAATATGGGCCAACATTTCTAATAAAATGCTTTCAGCACCTTGTTGAATCAATGCCACAGAATTAAGGCAGTGCTGAAGGCGAAAGGGGTATCAAATACAGTATTAGTATGGTGTTCCTAATAATCCTTTAGGTGAGTGTGTGTGTATATATATATATATATATATATATATATATATATATATTGGAATTCAGTGTCAATAGGGTCCATCAACTGTTTCCAATCTTCTTTAAAATATCATCTTTTGTATTCAGTACAATAAAGAAATTCATATGGGTTTGAGTAAATTAGAATAGAATTTTCATTTTTAGGTGAATTGTCCCTTTAAAATAAAATTAAATAGAAAACTGAAAAATGTGAAAATAACAGCTGATTCAAAATAAAAATAAATACCATGTGTTAAATGATAGTAAAATGACACATTAAAGAAAACTTTAGGAATTGCGCCAGTGGGTTTTGCACTGCTCTCATTTTGTTCAGAATTCACTTTAAACTGTTGAAAAGAAGTAGACAACATAATTCCTAAAATGGATCATTTATAAGAAATTATGGTTTGGGTTGAATATACTTTTTTTTTATTTCATGACTGATTGTATTAATGTCAGATTCATGTGGTTTGTAGAAATGTTATTTCAGGTCTTCTTGGCAACCTAAAGTCACCCTTGAGGCTGTTTAACAAAAATACTGTGTGAATGTTTACTTAAAGGGATAGTTCTCCCAAAAAAAATAATTTTGTCAATTATGCACCCACACGTCATTCCAGACCTGCTTCCTTCTCTAAAAGACAAAAAGCAGATATTTTGAATGGTCACAATGAATTTTTTTCACAGAAAGAAAGTCAATAGGGTCCAATGTTGTTTGTACTCAAATATCTGCGTTTCACTGAAGATTTTTTTTGTTTTTCCTTTTTATTTTGGCGTGAACTATCCGTTTATAGTGATCCATCTAAAATAGTTTTAGAAATACTTGTTGCAGTAGGATTTTTGATTACATTTCTCGTCATGATTCTTCCAGTGTTGCGTAATGTGGAGTATCTGTTAAACACAATAATATGAAGAGATTTCAATTTCAAGAATCTTCACATCCTTTGACATTTCGCATTAATAATCTTAATATCACAAGCCAAAACATATAAAATTCTAGTAGTGTCCAGAAACGATTCCTTGATTAAAAACATCATAGGCATTCATCGACTGAGATGTAACAATGACAACTCCCAGAGGAGAAAAGAGGCCGCAATATGCAGTCGGGAACACAAATTGGAGCCATAAAAAAATGGCAGAACCGCTGTCAGTACCGGGCCTAATGAGACCAAACCGGTTTATTCAGATAAGCAGTGACTTAACTCAGGCTGCCATACTAGACACATGGTTTCAATCTAATTTAGCCATGGGAACTGTAAAATAGTGTAGTTAGTGCTTGTGGGGTAAAAGAGTAGTCTGTGGGCCATTAGATGTACTGGACCCCTAACATACCTGGAAAGTGTCCCCTGAGAGACATAACAAGGGCCTATCTCTATGAGTTGTTTTTTTCCTCTCTTCTCTTGCCCATTGCTTACTTTCAATGTGAACCAGCTGTGGCCTCTGGACCCTTTAGTGTCACCCTGTGTGTGTGTGTTTCTTTTTTTTAATGTTTGTTTTATTATCTGTTGGACCGATATTAAAGGTGTTTGGAAATGGTGTCTTTCCACTTTGATCGTGCTTTGCTTAATCAGTTGTCTTTAAAGCAAGACATTGTAAGTACCTAGTTGCATTATATTAAAATTTTATAATGGCTACATATCCAGTGGTGTGCCATGCTATACTCATTTAAAATTATTTAAACAGCAATTTGATCATTCTGTTTATGCATGCAGCTTATTACATAAAAGCCAACATTGTTATTTTTAACGACTAATTAAAAAAGATATTTCACTTCTAATAGTCACAAATCATAAATAAGTGAATGAAGTAGTGAAAAATATGGTACTCACCTAAATCTTTATACAAATAAATCATGCGTAAAAATCCTCAAATCATATCTGTAAATGTATGGTCTAGTTTTCTTTCTTTCTTTTTTTCTTTTTACATTTTAAACTCGTTCTGTCACGGGTCTTACTGGGGCAAGTTGTCACATAATTGTGTGTCAAAAAAGCGTGCAAAGGCAATTATATGAATTAAATTTGATAGACAAATTAAAAATGTAATTTTTATTTTATTATTTTAATCTATAAATGTTATTTATAAATTTGTACAATTAAAAAACGTAATTCTGCTACGTTCCTCAGTATATAACTGGGTAAATTGGATATTGACCCTGAATATTTCATTTTGAATCAAGATAATAGGCCTAGACATTGCATCCACAATTTAAATATACATACAGATATGTGCCATGTCTAAACATCGACCCAATAACTACTAATCTAGTTCGTCTTTCAACAAAAATATTCCACATTAGCCTGAAAATAAAAATATCGTTAGCATACAACATTATACACAGCCAGTTAAGAGCTTTCTGTAAAACAATAAAATAAAAATGGGATCTTATTTTAAGCTCTTTGAATCCTTCGTTTAATTGTCTTTTATTTATTAACGAGAGTGGTTTCGGTTAAAGTAAACGCGACAAAACTATTTTGGCGGCAATTGTGGTGATTTTTGTTGTTATTTTAGTGCACGTAGGCTATAGCAGCTCAAACAGGTTACGGGCGTTTTAACGTCTTTTTTTTTATAAAGTGCTTACAACACAAAGTGTTCATACAAACATTGATAATTAATTTAATTAACGTGAACCTTTTAAAATACGTTTATAAGTAATTAAAAGTTGACTTTGGTTGTCACCCAGGTGGCTCTGCTTTATTCCCAGGCGCTTTTGACGAGCTGTCGGTTAATCAGGCCTTAAAATCTTGGATCGCGTTCGTGATTAGGCTATATTATGGAGTGCATAGATAATCGGTTGTCATAATCCCACAGGGTTTTATAAACAAGCCTTTAAGATAGGGACAGTCACATGATCATCCGGATCATGATGGCTCCTGTCAGAGAGTGTTCAGCATTTCGGGTATCCCATGCGGCAGTAGCAGACGGTCTTGAAGAGGCGGCAGTGGCAGAAGGCGCACTGATCACAACACACCGCGCTCGGCGTCTTACAGCTGCTCCACAGCGGCACACAGTTCGGCGGCGGAGGAGGTCTCTTTATTCGGTTGCTTAATTTCTGAAAAGTATACAAATAAAACGTGTATTTATATGTGCTGCTTCAGGTTCGGACAAATTATGTCCCAGGGTTATTTAAAGTAACATAAAAATAAGCCGGAACCCATTCAATATATTGATTATGAAAATGATTTGCTTAAAAATGTAACAAATTACGAGCTAGGCTACTCCATGAACAACGAAATTAATGCGCCTCTAAATAAACTTGGTGTCACAGAAGAGCTTGACGTGTAGTCTAATGTGTGAAGAAACAAAAAAATCCAGGTAAATATCAAGCTGTAATTTTGACATATTTATTAAAATATAATTGTGTACATTTCGAGCTATGAAATTAGCCACATATAATAACCATATATTATTTAACAAATGTTCAAAATGTACACTAATTTTCACCACAGAATGTCAATAAACAATAGGCCTACATATTTTAATAAAGATAGATAGATAGATAGATAGATAGATAGATAGATAGACTAAATTGTTTTTTATCACACATAATTAGACATTTTTATTATCAGCATCAACTTTAGTTTAAAAAAATGTAAATCTCTATGAACCAAATGAAACATCCTGACTGAAATATTTGTACTATAATATGGGTCAATCAATGTATTAAAAGCTGGTAAATATAACAAACCTTTTTTGGTTTCTTTTCCAGTTTCTTGTTCTTCTTGGGTGTTTTTGAAAGCCCTTCGATAATGGAAAATACAAATAAATTTGAAAGTGTAAGTTTTAAGTATCTAAATAAGTGACAAAGAAGTGTTAAACAAAGAATGAGACATTTATTCCGATGTGAGTTTAAAATAAAATAGCACTTGGCTAGAAGTTTGTGTTGACCATTTGTAGCAATGTATACTTTTTGTATATTATTTTCACAACTTAGGCTTACCAACTATGAGCACAGGAGGTGCATCTGTTTGGTTATTGACTTGTAAGCTGATGGTTGTTTGGTTGGAGCTGTATTGTTCCTCCATAAGCATGTGTGTGTGTACCGTGACACAGCAGGCTAAACAGAGCAGCAAACAGCACAGCAACAATGACGGACTCATATTAAGACTTCACCCTGCACAAGACAATAGTTTAAAAACAGAATCATAAACAAATCATGAAGTGCCGATTCAGTGATGATCACACACATAAACAGAATTAGACATAACATGATTTTAATAAAGGCCTTTAAATTCTTAGCAATTTTAAAGCCCTAAACAAGCAAAAACAGATCATAAACACGAGAGAGAACTAGCCCTTGTGAATTTCCTTTCCAAATTTATCCAAATAAAGCTCAAATGGTTGTGTATGCACATATGCTTTTGTCATCATATAACATCAAAACATTTACACACTATAAGAAGCAGTTTAATGCTAGAATAATAACCTATAGATTTTGCACAAAACTACAGCAGAGTCAAAATAGAAAATAAACCTAGGACTTTTGTATTCCTGTGCATTTAGTTCAATATTAGTTCTGAGAACAGTTTTCACAAAAATCACATATCAAGTCGAATATAACATTTGTTTACATCTACAGTTCCAGTGTACAGTATTTATAATGGCATTTGATCACAGTTTATTATTTCTCACCATGTTTCTGACAATCTCCTGTTTTTTATATCCTCTTTCACAGTGCATTCAAAACTGACACCCAAGGTAATCTTCAGGAGTCGGTGTTAAACTGACCTGTCCTGGTGAGTAATGGGACACCCTGTTTCCCTTTTTGTGGCTGGCTTGAGATATTCCCCGCTCCCCTGCTGAGACTGAGAGAGAAATGTCAGACAGACTTTTTAGTCAGGAAATTCAGAAAGGGGCGACATGATAAAATTAAGCAGGGGCGGATCCATACAGCCAGACCGAGCAGAGGGAGAGAGAGACATACATAGAGTGAGAGCGAGAGAGAGAGAGAGCGAGGGTGAGGGTTAATATGTGTAGGCTAGAGTTGGCTGAATAAGTAAAAAAAAGTTGCTTATAAATGTGTGATTGTCATAAAAACGCTTTTGTCTGAGTGAAACTGTGGATATACAGTTGAAATTAAAGCATTTGTCAGACTTTATTGGAACATGAACTACCTGTGTGAAATTCAAACAAAACTACAAAATGTAGTCACCATGAAATCAAAATGTTCAAATCTATGAAATTATAAAAAATTTATATAAAAGTATAAAAATTTTATCTGTGCACATCATTATTTTATTTTTTTATTCAGTGCCTTCCTTGTTACGTTTTGAAATATTATTATTATTATTTTTTGCTTCACCAGAATAGGATGACATTTGTCGCATTAGTCATGTGAACTCACAAAAAATAAATAAATAAATAAAAATAAGTAAATAAATGGACATGATTCAGATACGTTAAAGGGTCAAAAAATAAAAAGTCAAACTTGGTAACTTGCGGTCAAAAAAGAAATATTAAAAAAAAAAAATACAAACACGAATCTTTTGATGGAACAAACTATGATGCAACAATAATAAAAAAAAAAACTTCCAAAACATTTTGAGTGCAGAATAGACACCCACACATTTGAACTATTGTAATTGTAACAGAGCCCTTGCAAATGTGTGAAATAAAATCAACAATTCAACCCCAATGCAGAATACAAAAATGACATTGTGTCTTTTAGAATGTCTACACAGTATCTAAATGCAAAACGTAAGTAAGAAATTATGTCTAAATAACAACTCTTTACATATTTATTGGGAGCTATAGGTTGACATTACACAAGTTTTAATTGTTTTAACGCCTCCAGATGCCACTATTCTCATTCAAAAATGATTTTAAAGGTCTTCACTCTATTGAATGCAAAGTTTAATCCAAATAACTTCCTCTCCTCTGGAGAGGAACATGATGACGTGAGAGCGGGGCAACCTGCTACTCTCATGACTCACACCATAGAAAACCACAACCATCAATAATTATATACAGAAAACAACAAGCTGAGTGAATTTACTGTTTTTCCTCTTAGGGGACATTATGATTGCTGGAAGATCATCTGAGCAAATTATCAAAGGAACATGCATTTCATTTTAAAGGGATTTGTTGCATGCATTTTGTCCATCATCTCACTATAAAATGGCGTTTAACAACAGTTTCTGCCCAGTATCAAGAGGCTATTAAAAGTGAGAACATTTTGACCAGCAGAATACGCTAGAGTTAGTCCACTAAACCTTAAATCACATTTAGTTGTTATGTACCCGTTTTCTCTTCAAGTGAAGAATATCCTACTTTTTTGTTTTACTGAATTACATCACATTACGGAAGAAAAGTGAGTTGCGAATGCTGTTTTATGTTTACTTTAAATGATAAAACCAAATGTAAAGGAATCAATCAATCACCATGCACATTTATTTCTATATAGCACATTTTACAACTACACATGTTGGCCAAAGTGCTTTGCACACCAGGACCTAATATATTCATACAACCCACATGAGACCCAAGTCCACAAATACAAAATGACTGTAAATTAAATCCAGTTGAATGCAGTGAGAGCAAATAGTCTTTAAGTGAGATGTCAAGAAATTAAGAGAAGTGCGGGATCTAATCATGTCAGTCTTTTTGGCTGGCTCAATGGTGATACCAAGTATACAAGTACATTAAGTCTATCGTTTGCTCATCTGGACGCTGTCAGAGACTTGGAAACTTTTGTAAAATCAAAGCCATGGAACTGCAAGTGCGGGGAAAGTCAACCCAGTGAGTGCTGAACATTGCTCTCAGGGGATTTGGGAAACCTTTGAATTGTCCAGAATGAAGAGATGCCGTAAATGTGGGTTTGACAGGTTCTGGACAAGCTAAGGAAGCATGTGTTCCTCAGCCACTTATTTTCTGCCATTAACACCAGTTTTCTGGGCCGCTTTAGCTTTAATGCTCCTCCAACCTTCATTAGAACTTGTCCGAGCCGCGTGCAAAAGCATACGATCCGAACCAAAACATAACCGTCAAGGCCAGTGACTCTAAAAACAAAAAGTAGTGTTTTCGCTATCTATGTCGAATAGTTTTTGAAACATTATTTTATTATGAAAATGCACTGGGTATCAAGTTGGTAGTGATTTTGCCTTTTTAATTGATTTTTTTTTTAAAGAAATCAAGTTTTAAACCGTGTTTCCTTTGCACGCTAGCTAAACATTAACATGTCTCACATCTGTCTCGATCTGATTCACAGATTTTATAAGCTTGGTGATGAACTGGTTGTAGTCAGTTTGATTTAGTTTAGCTAAATAAAGTTATATGTAATAAATGACATTATAAAACTATCATTCTCTTCCTCCCAAGAACAATAGTTTGACGCACATGGTTGCAATTCTACTTTTAATGGCACAGTGTTTAACATGTGATTTACAGATTTTCAGAACAGAATCTTGCCTATTTAAAATGATTTGCAGAATTTGTGATTTTTTTCTTAATGCTTTGTTCTCTGTAACACTTAATGATCTTGTTCCTTATTTAAGGTGATTTTAACTGCATATTCAATAGATGGAACTTTTATTATTCATGCAAATTCATTTTGTATTATGTCTATATTTAAAAAAAAAATAGTATTTAAGTTTTACTGCACATTGAAATCAGGGTCCAAGAGAATTAAAAAAATGTGTTTAGTTTGATTCAGGACTTTGGTTTGATGAACAAATTAATTCTGTTGTTAAAACATGTTTCTTTCATTTATGACACCTTAGAAAAAGTTCAATCTTTTCTCTCTTTCAAGAACCTTGAAATATTTAATCATGCGTTCATTGCTTTGCATCTTGATTATTGCAATTCACTTTATTGTGGTTAACCATTCATCCATTGAGTGTCTACAAATGGTTCAGTCAATATATTTGATCACATTACTCCTATTTTAATTTCTTTGCACTGGCTACTGGTTAAATTGAGAATAGAATGTAAAATTGTAAAACCAGTTATTGTTTTTAAATCAATAAAAGTTCTAGCACCAGATGATCTTTCTGACATGCTTACGTTCTCTTAATTTGGATTGCTCTCTGTCCGCAGGTCTAAACAAAAAATTTGGCCAATGATTTTATTTTTGTAAGTCACACATTTTCACTGAAACACGAGATTTTGTTAGTAGACTTATTTTTTAATAGTTTTTAAGATAAAAGAAGAAACTAAAACAATATTCAATTGCAAGAATGAAGTGATATGAAACAGAAAAGCCCACATGAAAAGACATGGGATATTTAAGAACTGAACCCAAGTGAGATTCGACATGTGTTTCCATTTGTTGAAGCTATTATGTAGTTCGGTAATACCATGGGTAGAGAAACCTTTGATTTTACATTTAGTTTCTATCCAGTTTCTGAAATCACAGAATCTCTGAGATCAGTAAAAAACTGCCCATCATGCATTTAAGTGCCCACAGATTCTAGTCTGCTATCTGTCAACCGAATTTAAGATTTTCTCGCTGTTCCCGATACCCGTGACACGTGTATATTTTCAGTTTCACCAGTGCTAATGCTATACATGTAAACTTGAAATGGGCCTATAATGAAAATAAGACGTCTCGGCATCAGTTTTTTTTATTAGTAATGTCTATAGTCTCAAAACGAGGCTGAACCTAGAGAACTAAAGTAACAGAGAGATTTATTACACTGAGTGTTGCACCTTCATGATAAAAGCAACACAAATCGAGAGAGAGAGAGAGAGAGAGAGAGAGAGAGAGAGAGAGAGAGAGAGAGAGAGAGAGAGAGAGAGAGAGAGAGAGAGAGAGAGAGAGAGAGAGAGAGAGAGAGAGAGAGAGAGAGAGAGAGAGAGAGAGAGAGAGAGAGAGAGTCAGGGGGAAGGAATAAGACATTTACCTTCTGCACGTATTGGATTTTCTTTACTGGATTTCTGTCTTCCCTCCCATGCTCAAAAAGCATAAACTACTTATTTCCTAAGCAGATTTACACATGAATACATTTTCTTTCACTCCACTTCACAGCTTGTGGCAAGAACAGCTCTTTTACCGGGGAAATCCAGCTGCTCAAAGCAAATGCACACGGAGAATGCATACATTAGCCGTGATCCACCCTGAAAATACTGCTGATCCACTAACCTCTTTAGCATCTATTCCGTCATGATATATTACATTTAGGGGATCAAGCTGCGACTCTTATTCTTGATACAAACTTTAAAGCCTTAAACTGCACAACAGAAATCAACCATTAAACAACAAATTATTAGACTTTCATCAAAGGGTTTGAGTTAAAAATATCTTAATTTGAGAGAGTTTTGAACTATATAAGCCTACGTTTTTAACCCTTTTAAAACCCTTTATGCTTTTAGACAATAGATAGAAAATAATCTCATATATGATAATTATATATTTTTCTACAACATATATGAAAATGTATATAAGAAAAGGTTGCAACTCATATAGCCTACAAACAAGGTGTATAGCCTAATGTGGTGGTTGTTAGGAAACCCATTTTCTTTTTACCTTTTTACCTCGGGAGCAAGTTCACTTTTGTGTGGTCTATATGATTGCAAGTAACAATTGCTGTATTTGTAACTGTTGTCAAAAAGCAGACAGGAAAGGAGGAAGCAGGGTTTAGCTCTGGGAGCCAGGAATCCCACCGCAATTTTAAACAGATTAGAGAGGAATAAAATGGTTTGCAAGCCAGTATGAATGTAAAGAACAGAATTACCCAGGTTCAACTCTGGAGCAAGGGTTTGAAGATATTGTGTAGATTCATAGAATGTGAAACCATCCAGATACCTCCTCAAGCCATGTTAGAAACCAATAGTCTTTTGTCCACCTCACTGATTTGTTCATGTAAACACTTTCAAGCTTGTGTCAGTATGAAGGGTTTTGGTTCATGAGCTCCGAATAATCTGCCCAAACAATGATGGAGGGAAGGGGCCACGGGGGAGTTCAGTAACTCGTAACTGAGGGTCGAAGTCACACATTTCTGTGTGAAAACATCTCTGTGCCACAATTGTGCTAGTTAAATATAGTAATTTTAAAGTTTAAGTAACAACTGTTGAGAAAAAAGGGATATACTATGACTCTCTGGTCTCCGTCTACGTAGATTGGCAGGTCAAAACTACAACTTCCATCATGCAATGCGCCTAGGCCAATCCAAAGCGCATGCGTACAGAGCTCCGCCCGGACTGTCGCGAGCCACTCTCATATCGAGGAAAGGTGTACTGTGAAGAATAGTCTATTATCAAGCTTACTTTCTTCTTCTTGCGTTTTTCACTACAACCCGAAACCATGTCAGGAGACGAGGTTAGTAAACAATCGTTGTTTTAGAAAGATTTTATGTTCATTTATGTTTAATTAGACATTCAAAAGAGAAGGACAATTGGGCCTACTAGTAAAGGCTGTGAGGAAACATGTGCACAGCTCGTCTTTTCTAGATCTTTTTGTCACTGCCAGCTAGTTAGATAGTAAATATCCAACGCTTCTTTAACAGTCTTGCCATTTTATCGACAAAAGGTTAATATTTTACCACCATGAAAAATTAGATATGAAAACATGTATCTTTTCACATTTACCATAGTAATACAGGCTAGCGTTAGTGGGACAGGTAACGTTACTGTTGTTGTTTGGACGAGGTAATAGTACTGTGTTTTATTAATCTTTATGATAAAACCTTATTTTTAGAGATTTACTATGGCACTAACTGCAATGTATTGTTTTCAGACGTTTCTTGGTAATTCTTGTTTTGTGGTGGCATGGTTTCTACAACGAAATAGTTAAGTCAAGTCTAGCGGTTTTTACAATACAGATTGTATAAAAGCAGCTTCACAGTGATAACATGAAAATAATATAACACAGATCAATAACGTTGTTGAATAGTAAATGCCCCCAGCTAAACAAGCCAAAAGCCACGGCAAGTTCTACAACATGATATAATATACAAATACCTCTCTCTCTCTCTCTCTCTCTCTCTCTCTCTCTCTCTCTCTCTCTCTCTCTCTCTCTCTCTCTCTCTCTCTCTCTATATATATATATATAGATGTAGATATAGATATAATGGTAATTATTCAATAAACAGCGTTACATTAAAGTAGTAATGTAAGTTACCAAGTAGCATCATGGGACAATGAAGTTCTTCTCAGACAGTCCCAGTGCCTAGTTATATTTTGCAATATTGTTTTGAACCGCAGCTTCATAACAAGCCCAACAATATTATTTATCAATATTAATCAATAAATGAGCCTGCAACATATTAAAATAAAATCAGTTTGAAAAGCAAAAACAGATGGAATTTTACTAAATTAAATTGATTGCAACAAAGCAGTAAGGCACGCATATCCTTAGTAAATATTATAATTAAATAAATTCAAACCATAGGCCTACGTACTGATAGCATTAGCATTCTTGTTTCTTTATTATAGCATGTAATAAATACATTGAATTTTTTTTTTTAATTAGTTGCCTCTCCTCCTTGCACCATCCATCTAGCATGTTTCCTCTCCAGGGGCTGTTTTGACGTAAATGGGCACTAAGTTACAACTTACGCACTACTAAATATTTTTATGTTGCCCCATTAAACTTAGTTTTAACGTAACTCTACGTCCCAACTAAATATTTAGGTCCCAACACATATTAGGTGATTATATTGCTTGCATTATTTTGCCCTTTTTGACAGCCTTTGTTCAATGTTGTGCCATTATTAAACTCCTATTTTCATCCTTCCAGATGATATTTGATCCCACTATGACCAAGAAGAAGAAGAAAAAGAAGAAGCCTTTTATGCTGGAGGAAGATGGTGGTGAGGGAGAAGAAGGCCAACAATTGGAAACAAAAGAGACTGAGGCTGACGGGGGCGAGGAGAAAGAGTTTGATCTTGATGAAGATGATGGGGGGAAGAAGAGAGGTGAAACGCATACCATTCTGTTGTGCATTAGTTCTGTTGCTTTCTTCACTTTTTTTCTCACAATTCTGAATTGTTAGTCATAAAGGCAGAATAGTGAATATTATCTTGCAATTGCAATTGTGAAATAGTCACAACCTGTTTTAATTTTTTTTTTTTCGTGGTGGAAACAAGATTCCATAATATAGAGTAGTGAACACATCAGTATTATTATGGGCTTTTCACACCTGCCATTATATATGGCTTGTGAATGCATAATTTTTTTCCCTAGCATTTCTTACAAGCCATTTTGATTTTTACAATTCAAATACAACAACATCAAAACACTGTATATATGAACTTGCACAATCGCTTTAAATTACAAATAACCCAAAAAGCGGTCTTAAATCTTTTTTTGTTCAATAATCTAGGTATGTTTTCCAAGCATATAACAAGGATATTTAAATATTTATGCATCAATATAATAATGCATAGTAATAAACAGTATTTGCTAGGGGTGGGAATCTTTAAGTACCTCAAAATTCGATTCAAACCAATCCTTGAGGTCACGATTCTCGATTTTAAATCATTTTCGATTTGATATATGAATAGAGTTGATTCTAGGTTACTGTTTTGTTACTTTTCCTATTTGACTGCAGTAGACAGTTTAATGGGTCTTAAAGAAAACATTTCACTGAATTAAATGTAAACCTTTAAAGGTATTGTTTTTTATTCCCCATTTTAGTCAACCGAATACTATAAAACAAGTGCCGTTTAAACTGACAGCACTTGTTACACTTGACTGGCAGTCTTTAATAAAGCAGGGCAGCCCTGAGACAAATAGAAAAACTACTTAGTAAATAAATAAAATTCATTGATACAAAAATAAAAACTTTTTTCTGCAAACTTGAAGAGGTAACACTTTATATTTGAAATTTTTGAATCGTTACAAATCGTCAGAACATATAATTCAATTATTATTAATTAATATAGTGAACTGACTTTTCCCCCACCCCTAGTATTTGCATGTTACATGACACACATTTGTGTTGAAATGATTTAATGAAATTTGCTAAAGAACTGAATTTTTCCAGTGTAAAACTAGCTACAGAAATGTAATAGCCACATAAAAAGCACATTTAAAACTGTTATTATTTTAACATTGACAACAGAATAATATGCAGTATTGTTATTAAATATTTATTTCAAAAATCCAATATATTTGCTGCTTTGCACACTGAATATTTATTCCTTCTCAGTGAAAATCGTGTGTAATCCAAAAGGTGTGGCTTGTTAATTTTTTTTCTTTTGGTGATGATTCAGAAACGTCAGATGACCTGGATGACTTAAACTTCTTGAACCAGAAGAAAAAGAAAAAGAAGTCCAAAAAAGAGAAGATTTTCGATGCCGAGCTTGAGGAAGGAATGAAGGTCAGTTGATTGTTTGCGTATAGTTGTTAAACTGTTTATTTTCATTTCCTTAATAGCTTGTCAGTGAAAGATGTTTTGATCATGAAAGCGCTATCTTTCTGTGGACTAGCTTTCCTTTAAAAAATAAATTGATAACTGAGCAATCACATCAGAGTTTTTTTCTGTTCGTCATGCATCGTAGTGAACTAACTAAATTGCTCATTTCCAAAAGGAGCTGAAGATCGAAACAGAGCCATCAGAAATACAACAAGAGGATGATGACTTAATGCTGCCTAAGAAGAAGAAACATAGAAAAGTCCGAGATTTTCAAGAGGACACAGACAGTCAAAGCAAGGATGATGGTAAGTACATTACTTTTTGTAACGTAACGTTTGCAATCTAATCCCTGTAAAGCTCTTATACAAAACAAACTGTTGTATAAATTGCTAGACAAATAAAGGTCGGTGACTTAACTAGAATGTTTGTGTGAAAGGTGTCGAAGATGACGACAGTAAAACCATCGACGATATCACGTTCAGCTCGCAGACAGGCACTGCCTGGGCCGGATCGGAGAGAGACTACACATACGATGAGGTGAATGGGAGCTTTTATTTCCAAGCTTGTGGAACATGTGTGGTGAACATGTTTCAGGTGATAACTTGGAAAAAGCCTGAGACTGCTGCCATCTGGTGCTTTTGTTGGCAGAATAGCTTTTCTCTGCTAACTTCTCTTTATGTGACATGTTTGGAATTACGACAGCTGTGGTGTCAAGATGAGTTTTAGTGGATGTATGAAGTTGGTTCTCGCCAAGGTCACACAGGTGTAGTTCATCACATTAACTTGTACGTTTGACAACCAGAATTTTACACTGACAAATGTGGGCAAAATAGTTTTTATTTATTTTTTAAAAAAATACTTCCCTTGATCTGAGTGGTACAAGACTTGGCTACTTTTCCTTAGTTTGCCTACTGAACACACACTTTTTTTTTTTACTCAATTCTACAATGTAAAGTGGGTGAAAAAAAAACCCAAACCTCCTTAATCTTGTATTTGGGTCAAAAATGGCCACCCATAAAAATGAATGGGAAAAAGTGTAATTTAGAGCATTCTAAAATAAGTAATAATAAGACATCAGGTGAGTCTCTTCATCTTAAAGTTTTAGCTCTAAGAACTTATTGTAATTATATTTTAATGTAGTTAAAAAAAACATAAAATAAGCATAATTTACATAGAAAATATGGTACTTTTTGAAGTAAATAAATTCAAAAATACCCCCAAAATAAAAAATACACCACAAATGGATAAACAAAACTTTTTTGAAGACAGTGATATAACATTTTTATAATAAATAAAAATTAGGATCTCACCTAAGTCCTCTGTGCCCACATTTGTCCACAATTACAACTTTAAGGCTATAAAGTGAATGCGGTTTGAGGGCTACCGTTTTATATATATATCTATATATATATTAGTTCCTTTTTGATATCTTATGCATTGACAGACATCTATTAAGTATAGCATAATATAGCATAAAAGTATTTTTTGTGACTGCTCTATATTTAATAAAATTCTGTAAGAAAAAAACTTAATATTAAGCATATGCTCTTGAAAACTTTTAACTACATAATCATTGTCATAGAGTTTGTGCACTATGTTTTGTAGACAATGAATGCTCTCAATGAAAAATGACTGAAAATATCACATTATTTTAGCTTTTGAATAGAGTCTTTAACATCATGCGGGAAAAAAATCCAGACATGGTCGCGGGAGAAAAGAGAAAGTTTGTGATGAAGCCTCCTCAGGTTGTCAGGGTCGGCACAAAGAAGACCTCCTTCGTAAACTTCACAGACATCTGCAAGCTGTAAGTCAAAACTCAAAAGTGTCAAGCTGTTTTATAGAGTTAGAATGACACTTTTCATTATGATATTGAGTTTGATTTTTCCTTTGAACAACTAGAAAGTGAGCCATTATTTTGGGCTTTCTGTTGGTCATTTCAGTAGCTGTCAATCAAAAATATTCATATCGCATATTTGCAAATGCAGTCTGTTTTTGTATGGTTCTTAACTTTACTTTTTTTTTTTGTCAGGTTGCATCGACAGCCAAAACATCTTTTGGCGTTTTTGCTAGCTGAGTTAGGTACAAGGTGAGTGTATGTTATACTGTTATTGACTCTTCTCATGAAAGGCTACAACTTAGAGTCTTGGGCACAGATCACATGTTTTCATTTTCACAGGAACTATTAGATATGTAAAATATTATCTAGCCCTAAATGAACATGGCATGACAAGTAGCTAGTTTTCAACTCCTGAAATGCACCTTAAAATGGTGATTTTTCCATTAAAATGTTGACATTCTGTTAAACTGATGTTTGTAGTAAACTATTATTAAATAATTACAAAAAATATTTAGCTTTCTAAAAGTCATCATGAAATCAAAATGGAACATTCAAATGTCTTATAGAATATTGCAGTATTTATTATAAATGATTTATCTGTGTACTACCAAATAGAGTAGACTAGAAGAGGCTTGGTCATAGGGCTGTGTATCGTTCAACATTTTTTTTAAAACCGATACCTTGACTTCGATACCGGTTCCTGAATGATACTTTTTTGATAAATCCGTTTGAAAAAGATTACATTACAGATTATCTAAAAAAAAACCTTTTGGTTTTATATTTTTCAGTTTGTTGATTATTATTATTTTTTTTATAAATATGCCTCGAGGCTCGCGCTCAAGCTTGCCGCAAAGCACTGGCAAAAGTAGCCTAATGATTATGAATGTGTCAGGAAAAAAAAGTAAGGAGACATTTAAATTGTTTATTAATAAACTAGTGTTTTCTGAGTCAGTGTTGACTGCAAAGATGAAGGTGACATGCTGACTCGTCAACTCTGCAGGACAGGAGCCTATTCTCTGAGTTTCGGTTCATTTATGTGACACGCTCTTGTTCTTCTTGCAGTCCAAGACGGAGCAACTTTATGCTCTTAAGTTTATTTTGTGCACTGTCTAGTACTTGCCAGTCTTGTTGCAAATATTGTATCGTGCGCTGTTGGCATCGAGTTCCTTTCACTAACTATTTGCTGCAAAAGAGTTTCTGGCACCTTTTTGTACCATGTCCATAATGGCCCCATTTACACTGCATGGTTCAAGTGACTCAAATCCAGAATTTTTTCCTGTTATGCGACACAGATTGGATATGACCGGTGAACGTGTTAACAGGAAAGAAACGCATGGATTCCATTTTCAGGCCTCACTCATATGTGCTAATAAATGGGTTATGAATCGGATACGTGCATTTGCGTGTGCCATGTAAGCAGACAAATTGGATATTCCCCAGTAAAAATGCGCTATGGAAGAAAGGATGCACACAGTGGAGCAATGCGGAGGTTTCATGTGTTTTGAATGCAGGGATGTTAATGTTACAGAAATAAATCTGTATTTGAAGACATTTCACGAGATATGGGGAGGCACGGTTTTAAGCGCTCGTGGCTACAGTGCCAACAAGGGCTCTCCTCTTTTTCTCCGCTGTACGAGACCAATGTTTTGATGACTTATTGTGGAAAGAAAAACACTGGATAATTTTATTCGGATCTGCATCCATTGCATTTCTCGCCGTTTAACTGAATTTTTCCGGGTCAGAACGTCTGCATTTGGTAGTTTCATCAGTGTATAGTGTAAATGCAAAAATCGGACACAGCGGGTCGTCAAAAAAAAATCGGATCTAGTCAGAAAATCGTATTTGGGCATCAAGACCTGCTGTGTGAATGCAGCCATAGAGATGTTCTGTCCTCATGCAATCTGTAAGGGAATTATTATTTTGCTTTATGGAGAGCACCCCTAAACCAATGGTTGTTTTTCTTAGCCGATGATCGTTAACCTCGCATAATATCATACCGATGTCGGGCAAGCTCTCGGTTTATTTTTCCAGTGTCTCTGTGCGACACTCCAGCAGTCACTTCATTTTCACTTTTTGCTGGAGGCGTTTTACATGATGTCAGAGAGAAACCTGAATCAGTTGAGAAAGGCATCACTGCTCTAGAGGGAGCGACTGACCCTGTGAACGTTTCAGAAGGCATTATTAAAAGATGACCAGGACATTGTGTCCACTGACGTGCATCTCACACAAGACGCGTGAAAGGAAATCCTTCAATTTTGTCTCCTGGATATTTACAGAGGATTTTAGTTTTGAAAGAGATCAGTCATAATTCAACATGTGTAGAATTATTCTTTCTGTTGCTGGAAACTCAAAGTTTGTGATTTGGAAAGAATATTGAAAATAATTGGTGGTGTTTTCCCTAAAATTAAAGTACTGAAGTGCCTTTTTATTTTAGAAACGCTCTAAACCTCTGTATTGACTTTTCAGCGGGTCCATAGATGGAAACAATCAGCTCGTCATCAAAGGCAGATTCCAGCAGAAACAGATAGAGAATGTCTTAAGAAGATATATAAGTGAGTTTTATCTGACTGCTCTTAAACATACAGTAGTTGTGACTCAAAACAAGCCCATAATATTTTTCATGTTTTGTATATTATAATGATCTACGATATCTTACATGTTTTTGAAAGAAGTATTTTCTGCTTACCAAGGCTGCATTTATTTCATTAAAAATATACATTACAAATTCTTACAAATTAAAAGAGACCGTTTTCTATTTTAATATATATTTAAAATGTAATTTATTCCTGTGACGCAAAGATACATTTTCAGCATCGTTGCTGAGTTGCTTTTTAACAAAAGATTCTTCTTCTTCTTCTTCTTCTTCTTCTTCTTCTTCTTCTTCTTATTATTATTATTATTATTGAAAACAGTTGTTACTTAACATTTTTCTTGAAACTGGGACATTATTGAAACATTATGGCAAGACAAAAATAAAATAAAAAAACGCATAAAAATATTAATTTATCCATCAAGGATGCGTTAAACTGGTCATTAAAAAAAGTGACAGTAAAAGACATTTATCAAGTTACAAGAGAATTCTGTTTAATAAATGTAATAAATAAATGTATTAATGCCGTTCTCCATTCATCAAAAGATCCTGAGTAAAACTAAGCAGCACGACTATTTTCAACATTAATGATGATAAATGTTTCTCAAGCGACAAATCAGAATGCTAGAATGATTTCTGAAGGATCATGTGTCACTAACGCATCATTACTCCAGTCTTCAAAGGAAAAGCGTGCATTTTAAAATGCATCCAAATACAAAAGAGTTTTTTATTTTGTAATAATATTTAGCAATTTTGATCAAATGGGGGCCTGGGTGAGCATGAGAGACTTCTTTCAAAAACAAGTTTCCAAACTTTTGACCGGTGTTGTGTATACACACGCTAATATAGTTAATTTCTTCTTATTATATTACTACTCTGCGTTATATGAGGAAAAACTTTTTTTGTCTTGCAGAGGAGTATGTGACATGCCACACGTGTCGGTCTCCTGACACAATCTTGCAAAAGGACACGCGTCTTTATTTTCTGCAGTGCGAGACGTGTCACTCCCGCTGTTCCGTAGCCAGTATCAAGACCGGGTTCCAGGCGGTGACGGGCAAGAGAGCGCAGATGCGTGCCAAAGCCAACTAACGCCTGTCCCTCGATCATCACACACCTTATACGGCCCATCTGAACACGTGCACTCCACGGCCAAACTCAACACATCCACTCACACCCGGTTTCCTACAGAATCTCTGCGCTGTTTAGGAAGTCTGAAATTTCGAACCGAGATCTCGGCTATCTCAAGTACAACACTTCATTTCCCTCAGCTCCTTGGAGCGATGAAATTGCCTATGCACATGTAGAGAGGTTTGATTTGTTGGGTCTGGCCGTGGTGTAGCAGCGCTGTGAGATGCGAACCGAGAACACAGAGCCTGGAGGATTTTATGAATGAACTGTTGGTGAAATTTGTTGTTGCTGTATTACCTGCAGAGAAACAATTGAAATAAAATGCATACCAGCTAACGGCAAACATGTGCAGTCTATGTTTCTGGGAAGAGGTATGTCTTTGTGTAGAGAGACTGGATGTGATCAAGAAATGTACTGTATCTTTTATTATGATAACAGACACTAGTATTCAGCCTCCTATGTTTTTCTGTACTTTTAAAGAGATGAATATATGTTGATTAAACATCTCTTAAAAGAATTCAACACTTTTTTTTATACGAGTTAGCCTGGCTCATTCTCTATATGTAATGTTTTTCTGATGGATATTGTTTAGTTAAATTCAAAGGTAATCAATAATGATAAAAAGTGCAATGGACTTTCTCAGCAGTTGTGTATTTTCTGCTTTTCATTATAATTATTTTTTGCTGCGCAGTTGTCGGAATGGTAAATATTACGATAATGTTAATGACAGGGTATTGTGGCTGTATACTTGAAATGAATTCCCCGGAACTGATAATGACTCTGATAATTTGGTCCTTTTAGGAAAGTGTTGGCTGTAGCCTTTACTGTTGTTCTGTATAAATGAATCCACCAGTCTGCGCCTGTTTAAGCTCCAAAGAGCCCCAAAATCCCACTGACATAAATCAAGGAAATTTAGTTCGACACCCAGCATTCCAGTGTATTCCTAAACACGTGATACTCTTACCCAAAACCCCCCAGTGCAGTGGGCCTCTTTTTGTAAACCACCACAATTGTTTATGTCACTGCTCGACGTATGACATCTGAATGAGTGTTTAATATGTCAGGCAGTCATCCTGGGGAAAAAATAAATAAGAAACACGACCCTGTGCATCTGGACGGATGATTTTTTTTTTTGCACCACATAGCTTAAGATATGTTGAAGGATGCAGTGTGCGAATGACTTTTTCTTTTGTTTTACCAAAGGTTCATGGCTGTATTGGCACTGAAAATGAAGCTGAAGAAGAAATCACTAGCATTGGTAAAATTGCTTCCTAATGCAAGTTCTGCATTAATATGTTTTAGACCTGGCTATTTTCAAGATTTTGTTTTGCGTGTTAAAGTAGTTCCAGTCATTCAGTTTATATGTGCTTTGGCTTTGAATAAAGTCATTAGCAGCTCCAGCAGGGACTAGACTGGTTAACATCCTCCATCACTTACAACAACACCACGAGGTTTATGGATGAGTAATGAGCTTGGTTTTGACTGGCCCGGACATGGCTGTCTCTGCTGCATGGGAGGAGACGTGTTGGACTGCAATAAAAGTAAGTCCTTTTGGCCTATATGCTTTGAGTTTTCTGAATCTAAAAGGAAGCTTATCTCGAATGCCAGAACGTTTAAGTCGAATTTAGTCGTTTTTATCTATTGCCACGTTTCAGTTTGACATGCTTAATGCCTTTAACTGATTGCTCAATTTATTTGCATCGTGTCATTATCTTTAATTATTGGAGCGTCTCACAGCTTGGACGTCATACTGTAAATCACATGCCAAACTCACTGGATGGTCCTGAATCCTAACCTAGACCATATCCTCGTTATATAACTCATTACATCTCTCCTTAATTTCACAAGCCAGTTGCATGAACAGCCGTTATGGTACTGTTAGAGGAATAGAGCTTAAAGCTACACTGTGTAACTCTTTTAGTTTATTCTTAGCTAACAACACTTAGTTCTTTCAAAAATATATGTGCTCATTAATGTATATTTACTTTGTTCAAGTAATAAAGTATTCTCGTGTGTATAATATGCCATTGAAAATACATACGGGTAAGGGGTTCTAATGTCGGTCGCAATGTTGCCCCTCCATCTTGAATGTACATTAGCCAAAGAGGGACATACCCGTTAATTCAAGCTTCGCCTTTTGCGTTTACGTTTGAGTTAACACACATGGACGAGGTCGAACTGGAAGCCATGTTAATCTTGGACTACATTGGCCACCGTAGGAGTTAAAACGAAATCGGAATTGACAGGAACAGAAACTAATATTCATTGGATGGTCATATACCTTTTCACCACTAGATGGGGGTAAAAATCACACAGTGTAGCTTTAACTAAAAATGAGAATTCTGTCATTATTTATCCTCATGCCATTCTAAACCATAGACTGTAAAAAAATATGTAATTTATTTAGCAGAACAACTTGAGGGTATACTCCACTTTTTTGGAAATAGGCTCATTTTACAACTCCCCCACAGTTAAACTGTTGAGTTTTACCGTTATTGAAACCATTCAGCCGATCTCCGGTTCTGGCGGTACCACATTTAGCATAGCTTAGCATACATCACCACAAAGGTTAGTTCACCCAAAAATTATGTCATTAATGATTCATCCTCATATGTCCCAAGGCCTTAAGACCTCTGTTCATTTTCGAAACACAGTTTATGACATTTTAGATTTAGTCTGAGAGCTTTCTCTCCCTCAATTGAAAATGTATGTACGGTACTGTCCTTGTCCAGAAAGGAAATAAAGACATCATCAAAGTAGTCAATGTTTTTAAATGAAACACGCATGGATGAATTATTATAATATCTCTATAACATGCCTTTAGATGTTATAGTCTGATGGAAGTATCGTATTGACAGCGTCCACTGATAATTGTGTTTTTTTTTCTCTAAAGGTTTTGGACGTCAGTGATTACAGCTTGTGGAGGAGTTGTAATATAGTGCGCTTCCCTTTACAGATTTATTACAGATTACATTTACTGAAAGTTCTCTCCCATCCAGACCTCACAAAGAGCTGTGCTCATGTTTCAGAAAGTAGAGACTTCTTTAATCCTCGTATTGGCACATCTAATAGAGTGAGAATACATCTCTGGTAAAGATTAGACGAGAGGATTACTCAATGCATCTGCATTCAAACAGGTGTTTCACAAGTCATCATAGTTTATTTACATCTGTAAATATCTGTTGCAGTCTTGAAAGTGCAAGCAGAAGAAATATGCACATGTAATTAAAAATAGCCAACCTTCCTGATTCCGACTGGCGTATAAATAAAACGAAAAACATTTCTGGAAAAGCACAAACACACAGGAAAGAAGGGAGGACAGGAACAGAATGAGGGTATTTACATATGAGGCGCCCAGATGTATAGAAAAGAAAATGCAAGGTAATTGTGTTGTGTGGGGAGCATGAATGCAGAATGTCTGTGAAATTGATCCTCTTTTGTTGTCGCGTGTGTGATGTAGTTGCTCTCAGGGATTGTGGCCTTTTTGTGATGAATTCCTGGTTTATGGGACGTCATCCCCATCTCCCTCCTACCAAACAGCTAGTTTAGCTGTCCGTCTCATTGACGGCTGATGCTGGAGTTTGACGGCGCCTGTTGGTTTCAGTGTCTTCCCGCTGAGTCTGTGGTATTAAAAAAGTTTCCAGTCGACAGTGTTTTCCAACTCCCCGCTGTAATAAATACAAGAAAAGGAAGACAAGCATTAAGCTGTGCAAGTGAAGAAAAACAGCTACAAAACAGGGGAGCTGAAATAAAAAGAGCTTGCTGGATCTCAGTCAGTTCGCTCATGTTGTTTTATTCTTCCTTATTTTTATTCTTCCGTAAGCTAAAAAAAGTATTTTCTGCTGAATTTTAAGGACTAAACTAAAGCAGCAAACATAAAAAACACACCCAAAAATGCATGGGGTTAAATGTACAGAACTACAAACTAAATGTTTGTTGTACCAATTACCATTCAGAGAGTGTGAAATCGGCTAAAATGTACCAACATGAAATAAATTAATAAACATAAAATTTGTTGGTCTATACTTTAAGCTTTTTCTCAAGGTCAAAAAAATTCCAGTAGTATACCATTTCAACTATAATTTTGAGGTTTTTGTTTTACAGATTGCACTTTGTTTGTAACAAACTAAATATATTCGAGTCAATCAATCTGGTCATTTTTTGTGTGCATCTTTCTTTTTTAGAACAAAAACTTGAACATTATAACATTACAACTTTAATCATAATGTTTTTCCTTTATATTGAATCCCACTGGCAATCTATTGAATGATGATTCAGACAGTTTATTTGATGTGGACATTTTAATTAAAGTTCCTGTCATGATGAAAACCATTTATCTGCACTGAGCTGGGCCCCCTGAGTCCATGGCACCAAGTGGCATCCCATAATTCCACTGTCTACGAACAAACTATTTGTCCAATAACCCACTGTATTTGAAAAGTACTAACCCCAGCGTTCATGCAATAAGCTGCAAATAGACAGAATCCCACCTGCAATCTATTGAATGGGGATTTGGGTAGTGTATTTTTTGGACATTTTAATAAAAGTTTCTTTCATGATAAAAAACTATTTTACTGCACTCAGCTAGGTCCCCTGAGTCTGTGGCACCAAGCGCTGTCCCATAATTCCACCGTCCACAAACCCACTATTTTTATAATGACATTAATGCTACGTGGTATGTCCATATCTCAGCTCTGGAAGAAATCAGAGAAATCAGAGAAACTCAAAATTTCGACCCCCCCGCCCCCAAAAAACGACAGTGGTACCCCTTTCGTTTTTTTTGTGTCGTTTTTTTTTTTGTGTTCGCCCGAACAAAAAACCGAAAGGGGTACCACTGTCGTTTTTTTTTTTCGGGTCGAAATTTTGGCTGTGAGACTTTGACCTGAGTGCAAAAATGGAGGCTCTAGACCCTTCCAGAGCTGAGATATCAAAATTCTAAATTTCGACCCGAAAAAAAAAAAACGACAGTGTTACCCCTTTCGTTTTTTTTCATTTTCGGGTGAAAAATTTAGTTTCTCCAATCTTATCAAAACTCTGGATTCTGATAGAGGGCTGTGCGACTTTGACCTGAGTGCAAAAATGGAGGCTCTAGACCCTTCCAGAGCTGAGATATCGAAATTCTAAATTTCGACCCGAAAAAAAACCGACAGTGTTACCCCTTTCGTTTTTTTCGTTTTTGGGCGAAAAATTAAGTTTCTCCAATTTTCTCAAAACTCTGGATTATGATTGAGGGCTGTGAGACTTTGACCTGAGTGCAAAAATGGAGGCTCTAGACCCTTCCAGAGCTGAGATATCGAAATTCAAAATTTCGACCTGAAAAAAAAACGACAGTGTTACCCCTTTCGTTTTTTTTTCATTTTCGGGCGAAAAATTAAGTTTCTCCAATCTTCTCAAAACTCTGGATTATGATCGAGGGCTGTGAGACTTTGACCTGAGTGCAAAAATGGAGTCTCTAGACCCTTCCAGAGCTGAGATATCGAAATTCAAAATTTCGACCCGAAAAAAAAAAACGACAGTGTTACTTACCCCTTTCGTTTTTTTTTCATTTTCGGGCAAAAAATTAAGTTTCTCCAATCTTCTCAAAACTCTGGATTCTGATAGAGGGCCGCGAGACTTTGACCTGAGTGCAAAAATTGAGGCTCTAGACCCTTCCAGAGCTGAGATATCGAAATTCAAAATTTCGACCCAAAAAAAAACCGACAGTGTTACCCCTTTCGTTTTTTTTCATTTTCGGGTGAAAAATTAAGTTTCTCCAATCTTCTCAAAACTCTGGATTATGATCGAGGGCTGTGAGACTTTGACCTGAGTGCAAAAATGGAGGCTCTAGACCCTTCCAGAGCTGAGATATCAAAATTCAAAATTTCGACCCGAAAAAAAAAAACCGACAGTGTTACCCCTTTCGTTTTTTTTCATTTTCGGGCAAAAAATTAAGTTTCTCCAATCTTCTCAAAACTC